CCCCAAAACCCCAAAACCCCAAAACCCCAAAACCCCGACTTTGTTAATAAATATTGAAAAATTAGAGGTTATCCTACCATGCCTGCATCCAAACCTAAGCAAAGATCCATTGCTTGGAGTTGGTCTCAGTCCAGGAGGTAGTCGTTTTCTTTGGACTTCTCCTTTTGGATCCTCTTTTTATGATTCTCTCCGTTGAGTTCCTCCTGAAGTTGATTGAATAGATCCTTCCATTTAATTTTCTTGATCAAACTTTGCTCGTTCTTTTTGTCTACTTTCATGATATTGAATGCAAAGTTGATTTCTCTGCTAAGATCATTCCTAAGCTCTAGAACATCCCTGATCTGAGATTTATCGTAAGAAAGGGCTAAGAAGTGGTCATACGCCTCTAAGGCTTCCATATCTTTGATGAAAATGGAGTATTCTTTAATCCGTTGAATACTAGGCTCATCTTCTGCATCATTTTTGAGGGATTTCATTTCACCTCTGTCTCTCTGTTGTTTCCTACTCCAATATCTGTATCGAAGGGCCCAATCTGCAGTTGCTAACTCCTGTATGAGCTTTTTAAGAGTCTCTCCTTTGATTTGGTTAATCCCTTTTTCTTCGAGGTCATTAAATTCCTGGATCTTTTGTTCTTCAAGACATACAATAATGTCTTGGTAAGTAATCTCTTTTGGCGAGAATCCTTGCATTTCTTGGGTAATTTCCGTCTCAAGTTCTTTACACACCGCCCAAGATTTTATCATCTTGTGGATACTTGTAGGCATAATCCCGTTGTATAAGATCCGCTTTTTTATTTTAAGAAGCTTTTCAAAGAAATCTGGTGCTTCAGGGGATGATATTATCCTGACTAGCTTTGGAATCTCATCCATTGTGGCTACGAGTCTTTTGTGCAGGGGCTGTAGGATTTTTTCTGGTATAAAATCAGGATAAACTTGGCTAAACAGAGTTATACTTTGATAAATATCATTTAGAGATAAATTTACAGGCTTGCCCCTGTTGAGGTATTCCTTTATCTTTAAGATCCGATGCTTTCCATTTATGGCTGCTTTGAGGGAAGGACTGAACTTTACCTTTGGTCCATTCTCAGCATCAAGCCTGGGCTTGATATTGGTCAGAAATAAGCTCAAAGTATTGATATTTTTAGTATCATTTTCAAGGCTGGTAATATATTCCTTCCCCTTCTTGTACTTGCCCTTACACTTCTGTAGCATTTCTGGATTAACATCTTGACTGTTTTCTTTAAACTTGTTAATAAACTTCCTGAGCTTGGATAGACTCACAACATTGTTGATGTAATGATCAAATTGGAGAAATGTATTGAGGCTAGCTTTATACTCTTCAAGAGCTTTTATTAGTTCAGGAAATTTAAACAGGCAAGTTTCAGCTGCCTCTTCTAACAACATTTGGATTTCGATTAGCTCCATTTCTTCAGGGAGGTTATTTGACTTCACTATCTGATATTTGGTGGTCCATATGTCAATGTGACCAATAAATTCTTCAAAGAGTTCCTGCTCCTCTAAAGTGTTGACCATCAAGCTTTGCTTTGCCTTCTCAAAATGATCGATAATTTCTTTGTAGCTAGGCTTGTTTTGGATGAGAAGTTCCCACCGTACAATGACTTGGCTAGAATTTCGAAACTTTTCAGTCAAGCCTAGTTTTTTGAAATTTTCACTCTCTATCTTATACTCGATCCTATTTCCGAGATGATATTGGATCTTCCCCATCTTTTCTTGCTGGGATTTAACGATCTTTAGAAGTTCAGCCTTCCATATGTTGTAGTCTTGAATAATGGCTCCAGTAACAGTAAGGAATTCCTCTCGTAAGTCCCATGTGACTTCTTCTAAGTTTGTCTGACTTGGAAAAAATATCTCTGATACTTCTCTATGCATGTCTACAAGTTCTTGAATGGTATATAGTTCGCCGTAGATTACGATATCTCTCATCTGAGCACTCAGGGCGAGGAGCTTCATTCATTTGAGGCAGTTCAGATAGTCAGGATTCATCTTCCTCCTTTTAATTATTTTGGCGTTGATATAAGTATCAGCAAGATACTTTAGATTACTAAAGATGTTTCTGTTATATTTCAAAGCTTCTTCATCAGTGTTTAGATCCTTGTCAAAGACTTTTTTGAATATCTTGTATTCGTATTTCTTTAGCTCTTCCAGAGCCATATTCTCACCACCGAGTGATGACTTGAGCTTCTCCATGCACAGCTCCCGGACTGTGTCAAATGGGAAAGGCATCCTTTCAAGATTTTTGAGAATATCTGCATAAATTGTTGACTTTTTAGCAAGCTTTGTTCTGTTATCAAAAATGTAAGCTGACTTACAGAAAATAGCTCTAGCTCATTCCATGTATTCGAACATTTGAAAAGTATAAGGTTTGACTGGAAACGCAAAATCTCACTGCTGGATCGGATCTTGGTTGATCATTATTGCTAAAAGTGTGGTTTTCTTAAAATCTTCCCATTCTGATCACTTCTTTCACTTGTAAGTATCATATGTGTTAATCAAATCAGGGTTGATTTCTTCTCAAGAGCAGTGATGCCAGATACCTATGTTGTGTTAAAGATTAAAGCTTACCTCAATGGTCTCAGCAAATTACTAGTCCGTCACCAGGGGTATTAGGTCTTGCATTGTCTTGTTTAGAGTCAGTCTCTAGTTCATCTTCATACTTCTCATCGTATTGGTACTGATCGTAGTGTCAGAATCATTCTTTGGGCTTAGGCTTGTGCAGTGGGCATCTAACTGAAATGTATCCACCTCTTTTCCAAAAGTTATCTTTGTATTGAAATTTGTCACTTTTTTGAGAATTTTCTTGGGAGCTTGTCTTGGTTTGGTTTTCTTCATTCTTGGAATCCTTCTCTTCTTCAGATTCTTCCTGGCTTAAAGGATCTTCGTATGGTACTGGAACTGTAAAGATAATCTTTTCACGAGTCTCCTTAGGAATTATTTCTGGATTTATTTTGTTAAATATCTTGATTTTCCAGAAAGGAACTGGAGGGTCGCCTTCAGATTGGGAATCAGCATTTTGGGTATCATTATCAACTTCACTGGCTTCTTTGCTTTTCTGAGATGTCTGAAATCGGGTCTCCATAGCACAATAGGGGTGAGCTTTGAGTGGACATTTTTCGCAAGTCAATAATTGCCCATTATTTTTGCCACAAATTGATCATTTTTGGTCGCTATCTGAATTTTCGTTATCTTCAAGAGAGTCAAAGTTGACTTGTAATTTCATAGTGTTCCAGTCAGTAACTAGGGCATGATCGCTAAGAAGCCCGCATATAATATGGATGTATTCAGTCTTCTTTGAACTATCTCTAAAATTACTAATCTTTTTCATGATACCTTTGTCTTCGCCGCATATAACACAAGTGGGGTTATTCTTCTGTTTACAAGTGATACAGTTATATGGGAGAGTGACTGGCCCTATACATGAGGTATGAACATAGACCTTGCACAACTCTCATTTCGTCAAAGAAGGGACTAGCTTTGCCACTCCTCTGGAGTATCATCATCTTGTAGTTACCCTTTCTGTCATTTGTGACATTTTTAGCGTAAATTTTGGTTAAGACGCTCATACCTTCTTTAATTTGCCATTTTAGAATTTTATCTGACTAAATTAAAGAATTTGTCCTAATTTTAGTTGGGGTTTTGGGGTTTTGGGGTTTTGGGGTTTTGGGG